CATGCGTGCATGGTGGCAGAATGGAAGCAGGCTGTTACCCTCCTTCTGGTTCGGCTTCCTGCACTCTGCCACCCTTCCTCTGTTTCCTCTGTCACTCAGATATCTTTCCTGGTTACTCCTGCCCTGTTTCTCCTGACATCCCCGCTTCCTTCCTTCCTCACAGGTGGCAGAAAGCACGAGCAAAACCATCTGTGGGTTCCCTGTCTCTTCTTGTGGATGTGTGCGCCAGAAGGCAGTTAACACCTTAGGGTCAACACACAGTCACTTAGAGGCATAGCTGATCAGGACTGGTAGAATCTTTAGTTCAGAGCCCCACTCTGTGTGCCTGCTGCTGTTGACAAATCCCGCACAGGGCTCCTCATTGTCTTTTCTAGCTTTTTCTCCTCAACCTTACATGTGTTTGATGCTGGAAGCAATGCGTGTTTTCTTAGAGCAGGTGCAAGGTTACTGGATTTATCTAAGTGTGCAGGTGCAAGTGACTGATATGGCAGCAGCATTTTCACACCTGTGTATCCTGCCGTATGTGTTCACACCTGGTTGACAGTTCTGCAGAATCTGTTGGGTTGCAGTTCTGGGTAAAACACATGGACTGTGATGGGGTGAAGGATGAAACTGAATCATAAATGAGAGTAAAGCTGAGCTGCCTTGCTTACATCTGTTGTTATTTTTTGTTGTCCTTCCACCATTAAAGAGGGGGTCCTTGAGAACTAGGGAGGGTCAGCCACAGGCAGAACATTCTATTCTAGTAAGGTATCAGCAGTCTCCCTCTCTTGAAGAGACCCACGTCTGTAAATCAATTCTCTCCTGAAAAAGCAATAATATTTATTGTTTTGGGCCAGAATTTCCTTGAATGAACCAAATTGGGATTAAAAGTTCTTTTACAGGCAGGAAAAATCCTTCATGGACACAAACTAATAAAATGCCTGTTACACGTTATTGCTCTGTGATAGAAACACACATCAGAATTGTGTTTTGAGAAGCAAAGAGAAACCCTCAGGAATGAAGCCCTGCAGGGTCTCACCCTGGCTGCTGCAGGGAGCAGCTCAGCACCTTGCTCTGGAGGCTGCTACTTCCCATTCCTCCAAGTTACAGATTGCTTCTTCACCAAAACCTCCAGTGCCATTCAGTAAATGTCTTGGGAAGCCCATTATCTGCCCAGATCCATCCCTGGGTAACTCAATAATGCAGAGAATCTCATCTGTGAGATAATGCAATTGCATAGGAAGCCCTGCTGGATTTGCTGACAAGCTGCTAAGGAAGAAGAACAAAAACCCAGGCCTGGCAGGTGTGTCTGCCTATTTAGTTGCCTCCCAGCCTGGGAGTCAGGTGCTTGGGGTAAGGCAGGAACATACTGCTCATTATTCAAACAAAACTGCATAGTTCAAGTCCTTGATGATCCAACAAGAAGATAAAACCCTCTCATAGGTTCCTGGTACCCTGAGCAGGGAGATGAGCCAATAGAAAGAAAAAAATGGAATTGCTCACCGTGATGGGAAAGATAGGAACAGAAAAGTTCAGAGAAAGGCTACACCAAATCCTGACTGGAGCATGACTTGACAGCACAAGGACCAGGGAGAGAGTACTTGGTCTGAGTCTTGAAGGATGGGCAGGGCTTCAGTTGGATAAGGAAAACAAAGGCAGAGGATCTGCAAAGAAAGCATCTCTGGCATCCCTGGCAGAGAAGGAATGCCTGCAAGGCTCCATGAAAAGTAGTAGTCAGTTCAGCAGATGGGCTCAGAAATAAGAACTCCTGTTTGGAGAGTCTCTGAGCATAAGCAAACACAGGTAGAAGCCTGCGACTGGCTTTAGGGTTTTCATGTCTTCCTTTTTCAATCTGTTTATGTGAAAGGTAGCAAATAGTCACTGGGTCACTCCCCAGATGTCTGCAGCAGCTGGGGCTAGGCTGGGCTGAAACCTGGAATCCAGTCCATTCTTCTTTCCTTCCTGGGAGGCGGGGACATAAGGACTTGAGCCAGCACCTGCTGCTGCTTCAGTAGAGGGGGCGCTGGGGGCTGGATCCGAGGCACTGCCCAATGGGATGCTTGTAAATAAGGTTTGGTTGGAAGATGGCACCATCACCCTTGCATTCATGTGTTGTCTGTGGCTACTTTCTTCCCATAACAGCAGGATTGAGTTGTGAAAGACTATGAGGACTACATAGCCTAAAATATTTACTATGGGGTTTATTACAGAAAAAGTTTACTGACCCCTGGCCAAAATTATCTTTGGTCATTGAAACTGAGTGAGGAGGGTCCACACCATCCAGTAGGGCTTTGTTTCACAGGCCTGTTTATCACTGCAAGTACTCTTCAATCCTGTCTCCACCCCATCACCAATTTAGTAATTCCTGGGTTCTGAAACTTGCAGTGATTGTTCTGAAAGTGAGATAGTGGCTATACAATGGAAAAAAAGAATCTCCCTTCTAAGTTTTTCTTTGGATGTACAATTACCCCCAACCCTGGGCTGTTACAGCCTCTGTTTAATGTCTTAAGTTCTCTGCTGTTACATCTTAGGTTCTCATAATTCCTTGGGTTATGAGTGTTGCCAAGCAAAGTCCAGAGTTCCCCAGAGTGATGCGAGTGACAGTCAGTGGGGAGCCCTCTTTCCTAGGAGTTCTGTTCTTTGTGTCTTCTGGACTGGCTTCCACGTGCCAGTAGCAGGAGGGGAAGCCCACATTCATTTCTGGAACATGAAGCATGCGTCCCCGCAGAAGGCTGCGCCTTTGAAACACCACACTCCTGGACTTAGGGAATGAAGGTTGTATGGGATTACACGGCAACACCAACTGCTGTGGTCTGTGGTTGTTGGCCTTGGAGTGTTGGGTAGGATGCTATACAAATGCTAACTTGTTTATTAAGAATGGGATGAACTAGAGGTGCAGTCTCCTTTGCACTCTGCAGATCCAAAAACAATGGCTTTGACAAGCCAAGTGACTGTGATTCTCACTAAACCTGCAATAGTTGGATATTGATTTTTACAGTCTAGCTATTTTCAGAAAGTAGAAGGCTCATTGATAGTGTTGCATCAAAAGGCTAAGAATTTCTGTAACAGGTTAACCAAAAAAGCTGGTTTTCAAGGGGCGGGTAGACCGTTAATCTGCTAATCCTCCTTACCATGAATTTGTTTCAGCCCCAACGAAGGTATTTAAATGCTGCTATCAAAAGTTAACTAATTCACAAATTTTAATTCAAATACAAACACAACTGTTTACAATAAATAATGATAAATAGTGATGGCATTTAACAAAAATTTCTGGAAAATGTAGGAGGTCCCAAAATAGAATCACATAGGTTTGGGATCATTCTGTTTTCTCACGAAAATGATTATTCCTATAGAAAAATCTGATCATCATCATCCCTTCCTTAAAATATCTCCTTGCTTGGGTACATCCTTAAAGACTTCTGGGCCCTCCCTCCTGTTAGGCCCTGTCTGCCCATGAAGCCATCTCACCCTTCTGCATTCCAACCAGAGAGGGTCCCTGCTTGTACAGCTGCCTCTGTCCTTGCAACACCTGCTGGAGAAGGTCCCCATAACTTGCTCTGTTGTGCTTCATCTTTGTGCCTCAGCTTGATTGTCTCTGGATACAAGAGGCGTTTTTTGACCCTTTGAGAGTGGGTTGAGTATCCTTCCCTTGCTCAACCCTGATGTCCTATGCATTACACTGTTGATCAGTTGTTCACCTATTCTTCGCTCTTAGACCTCAGGGTATCCAACAGCATTCAGAGACACACAAAAAGCATTGTGGCAGAGTGGGTTAGACCATAGCTTGGGGTGCCCACATCTAGTATAGGAGTGCCTGATTTGAGTCCATGCTGCTCTGCACTTGTAGTCTGTTCTTACAATGCACCTGAAAGGCAACAGGTCATTACTGAACTGCTTGGAACCCTGCTACCTACATAGGAGATACAGAGGGAGTTCGTGGCTTCTGGCCTAGCCCCAGCTACTGGGGAGTGAGTCAATGGATGGAAGATCTGCTGCCTAATCCCTGTGACCACCATCCTTATCATTGCTGCCTTTTAAGTAAATAACGAAATCTGTTTTTTTTTTTTTTAAATAATACATTTCAGCCCTGGTACGATGCCTTGCCTGCACTGGAATCCCATATGGGCACCAGTTCATATCCCAACTGCCCCCTTTCCCATCCACCTCCCTGCCTCTGGCCTGGGAAAGCAGTAGAAGATGTCCCAAAGCCTTAGGACCCTGTACCCAGGTGGGAGACCCAGAAGAAGCTCCTGGCTTTGGATAGGCTCAGCTCCGGCCATTGCAGCCACTTAGAAAGTGAACCAGCAGATGGAAGATCTTTATCTCTCTAAAATCTGCCATTCCAATAAAAATAAACAAATATTTTAAAAAAAACATTGTTTTTTATTTTGACTGTAGTTACAACAAATTGAAACCCTCTTGAGCTACCATCTAGGAAGGGAGTTTATTGTGGGAAATAGCAAAAGCAATAAAGAGACATTGGCGAACATGTGAGAACCAGGTCTGTAGGAAAGCTGTACCTCGTGGAACCAGAATGGAGGTAGCTTAGGATAGTGTAGTTGCGTCTCGTGGCTTTTTATTCCTGTGTTCAGCACCATTGCCCCTCTTTCTGCTGCTGACTTCTGAGCTGCTGGCCCTGACTTCTGAAGCCTGCTCATGAGTTCAGTTTGCCTTGAATGCCTGCATCAACCCTACTCCATTGATGGATCATCCTTACTTCATGCCTTCAGTTCTTCTTCATGGCTGGGTTACTTTTGAAGCTTCCCAATTCTAAATCTCCAAGCCAAGACTCAGCCTTTTGAGTCAGGCCGCACATATGACAAGTCTCTGGCTACCCTATTAGGAGGCTCCAGTCTTCCCTGCAGCCTGTGCAGTTTTGTGTATAGCTGGAGGGATATCCTGGGTCAGAACACGGCTGTCTATTAATGGGTACCCTCTTGTTTTTTAATTTATCCATGTACAGAGATGTTACGCCTGTGTTGTATGCACTTTGTGACATCCTTTGTTTTCCTTCACAGATATCATTAATGGAGCTCAAGAAAAATGTGTATTGCCTCCTATGGATGGCTACCCCCACTGCGAAGGGAAAATCAAGGTGAGAACCAAGCATTGCTTTTCCTTTCCTTTGAACATGACACTGCCCCTGCTGTAGGATACACATGGGCTCATGAGCTTGTGAGGTAGGCTGTCTCAGAGCTGCCTCCTTCCCTCCAGGATTGGGCTCCTGCTGTGACGGAGGCTTCTTCCCTGATTCTACCACTGTAGAGTTCATCAGCAGTGGCCAGCATCGGTCAGACTGAAAGAGCCTGGGTCATTGCAGGCTTCTGCTCTGTCTGAAGCTCTCTTCCCCTGCCTCTGCAGTCTCCAGCAGGTGGTCCTTCAAGGCCCACTAGCCGGGAGTAACTGTTATTTAGGAACCAACTGTTGTCACTCGCAGTCCCCAGCTCTGAGGTCTCCATGTTATGGTTTCCTTGTCCAGTCTACAATTTACGTGTGTTGGTAGAGCACTCAGAGATACTTGGTCAGTCTTGACCCTTACTTCATTAAAAACTCCTATATGTAATGGTCTCTTCATTTTGGACTGAAAACTTTGGTTGAGTTGTGCTCATGAGACCAACCCCAGACCCTTTTGCATGGTCTCCTTGGGGACGCATTGCGCCCCAAGAACTTGTTTATGTACCCTGCGTTCAGCAGTGCTGCTGGGAGTGCATTTGGAGGCTTGGATGCATTACTGCTATCATCTTGATAAACCTCTCCTAGACGTCACCCCCACCCCGCCCCCATCTCGCTACCCTAGGCACTTGCTGAGGTCCCAGTATCTTCTTGCTGCTTTTCTTGCAGTTAAGCATCTGGTCATCTTGCTCTTAGTATACGGTGACTGTGACTCAGTCTAAAGGTCCCACTTGAGCCATTGCCCTGCCCTTACCTTTCCACTCCACAGTTTCTCTGTCAGCATGTCTGGTACTGGAGCAGTGGGAATGGCTGCTCAGAGATGCTCTTCCTTGCTCTTGTTTCAGTGGATGAAAGACATGTGGCGTTCAGATCCCTGCTACGCAGAATATGGAGTGGACGGGTCCACCTGCTCTTTCTTTATTTACCTCAGTGAGGTGAGTTGCTTCCTGGGACTTGGGGGGAGATGTGGGGCAGGGGTAGACCGGCTTGTTGAATTGAGACTCTGTAAATGAACATGGGCTTTGCAGCACTTCCATGTGTGCATCAGTTTTATGTGGAGGACCTGTGGAGGCTCTGCTTCCATAGGGGTTATGAGCTAGTGCACATAACCCAGAATTTATCCTCCAAGTTTATTTATCTATCCAGCTTTCTATTTTTTTATCTGAAAGGTGAGGGGCAGGTTCTTACCTCCTGGTTCATTTCCCAATCACTGGGTCATGCTGAAGTTAGGAGCTTCGTCCAGGTCTTCCACATGGGTGGTGAGGGTCCAAGGACTTGGGTCATCCTCCAGTGCTTAGAATAGTCAAATGTCAAAGTGACGCCTGTGTGGAACACCCAAGTCATAGGTGGCAACCCTGCTTGCTACACCACAACTGTGACCCCTCTGAACTCCTTTCAAAGACTCAGTTCAACAGCTTTCACCTGGCTATGCAACCATCGCTACCAGCCACTTCCGGAACTCCTTTTGTCTGGCAAAATCAAAACTATCTCTGATGTCTTGCATAACTCCTCATTCCTAACTTCTGCCTTTGCCCTGCCCCTGGCACCCACCCTCTTCCGCCTTGTGTTTTTATCAATTTATTACTTTTAGGTTCATTACCAAAGTAGAATCACATGATAAATGATGTCCTATGCCTGGCCCCATGGACTTAGCACAGTGTTTTCAGAGTCTACCTAGGTTCTAGGCCATAGCCCATGTTCAAATTTCCTTGCTTTCCAAGGCCAGCTGATACCCTATGGAAGGAAGGCAGGGATGATATTTGGCTTATATATTCATCTGTTTCTGCTTGTGCTTTGTCAAGCATGATGCTATAAATATGAGTGTACAAATATCTGTTCCACTAGCTGCTTTTATTTCTCTTGGTAACCCCAGGAGTGGCATTGTTGAATCATATAGTAATTCTGTGTTTAATCTTTTGAGGAACTACCCTTCTATTTTTCATAACAGTCTTGACATTTTACAATTCCATCAACAGTAAGCATGAGTTCCAGTTTCTCCACCTGCTCACCAATACTGATTGTTTTCTATGCATTTGATAGCAGCCTTCCTAAAGGGTGTGGGGTGCTAGCACATTATGGTTTCCATTTGCATTTTCCTGGTGATTCGTGATTCTGAGCAATTTTTCTTGTGTGTGTTTAAATTTATTTTTATCTTGGCTTTATTTTCAATAGTATCTTTAAATTTCTTCTCGTTCAAGATTTGTTTAGTGTCAAGGAGAGAGAGGGAGAGATAAAAAAAGAGATCATCTTCCATTCACTCCCAAGATGAATGCGACAGCCAGGACTAGACTAGGCTAATGCCGTGAGCTTCTTCATCTGTGTTCCTACATATGTGGCAGGGTCCTAGATACTTGCTCTGTCTTCTGCTTTCCTAGACCATTAGCTGGGAACTGGCTCAGAAGTGGAGCAGCCAGGACAAGCGTTGGCACCTGCCTGGGATGCACACATTATAGGCAGCAGCTTCATCAGCTATTGCCAGCCCCAGAACCCTTAACGCTGGCTTTTCCCTTGGTTGAGGGTTGCAGAGCAGTATAGAGACTGTGTGAAGTAACAGGCTTTGGGGATCTCCATTGCAGCTTTAGAGAATCAGTGGGTGGGGAAAGTTTAGCTTCATCCAGGGCAAGGATCCAGCAGGTGGCAGAACCTGGTCCCTCTTCTGCTATTGGCTGGAAGTCTGGGGATTTTGAGACGCATGCACTGGTTGTCTTCAGAGGATGCATCTCCACAGGCACTCTGCTGCTGTTCTTTTTGTATTCTGTCCGCCGTTTGGGTGTTCAGGTGTGTGTCAGTGTGGTTGCCATTTGACAACAGACGATGCCAGGTAGAAGGGAGAACGCCTCCATTTCTGAGGCTCCCTGAAATTTTCTTATCCCGTGACTTCCCTTGTGGGATTCAGGGGTTCCTGATAGCCACAGCTTCCTTTGGAAACAGATGCTACCCCAACGTTGCAGAAGGCAGATGACCTTGGATTCCTTGGGTTTTAGCCTGCTCCAGCATCAGTCTCTTTCCATGGGATGATTAAATCATGGACTTTGAGTGTGACAGGGTTATTCCAGGGGCTCGCCATGGCCAGCGGGCAAAGCTGTGGAGCAGAGTGAGAACACCTTCTAGAAATGAAAGGCACAGGAAGTTGGGTATTTGATGGTGCTCATTAACAGGCTGCCCGCAAATTGATTTTGCAGCTAGAGTGCCTTTGTAGTTGCTGCTGCTGGACAGCTCCCAGCCTGCCTTCTCATCTCCTCCTTCCTCTCTAGGGGTGAGGGTGGAAGGCCTGGGGGCACCAGGGAGCCTTCACAAAGGCAGGTCCATTACCTGTCCCTCTCCTGCCCCCAGGACAAGGCTCCTCCTTCACTTTAATTTTCTGAAGTTTTCTTCCCTTGCACACTTGATAGAATTTATTCAGGGTCCAACTGTGCCGGTGATTGACAAGCTGGTCTCATTTCATGCCTTCCTTAGAGACTGCACATTGGGGTGGACTTCAGAGGGAACAGTGGAGGATGTGACTTTTCCACTCTTGCTGCTTCTCTAGCTGGGGGGCCAGAGCTGGGATTTGGTGGGTCCAGACTTAAAGAAAAAGGACAGAAATGCTTGGTGATAATTTGCCTTTCAAACCAGTCTCCCTACCCCTCACAATGAAGGTCGGATGTTGCTAGGAGAACTGGGGGTGGGGTGATGGAGCTGACTGTAAGATGGGCAGGGATGCCTGGGCCGATTGTCAGGGGCTGAGATTTTTGATTTCCGATCCCCTGTCTGTTGCTGAAGCGAGGCATGCTGCTTCACTGGCCTGTTGCACTCTGTTCTTGTCCCTGATTGTGTATTTCTCTTCTTGCTCAGCTGAATGCATATTGAACGCATATTCATTGATTGTCAGTATTTACCCAGCCTGTTTCCTTAGTGCCATGCTGTGCCTCATTATCTTAAAAGCATCAAATTGATGTGGGCGTGGGTATATTAATTTTACTCCAGGTTCTTGCCTCACACAAAGGCACACATTCTAAGTGCAGACATTTACATACATAGGAACCAGATTTATTTAGTAATGGAAGACAAAAGTACTTCTTCACACAGGAGTGTGGGCTGCCCCACGTGGAGAAACCACTGTCACTAGTGGGCCTGAGAAGTGCCCAAAAGTAGGGCAAGAGGAAGAATGCACTTGCGTGGTAGTTCCAGCCATGGTGCTTGGTGGAAGAGAACACTCCCTTCTCTCCAGGTGTTGCTCTTTCATGAGATAGGGGGATGGTGCCTCTCCACATGTGGGAAGCCACCTGGGGCTTCATATCTGTATTTTCATGTCATTCCCCCTGGGGTCCCAGATAAAGCAGGTACATGTGGGGAAAGAGACATTTTGATTATCAGACAAGGAGATAGCATGACATTGGTGACTTGCAGTGGCTTCTAGCTCATGCAGGCCTGTCTAGCTGCCTTACCTTTTCCCCATACACCATTGTTAAAATGGGACAGAAGGCAAGGATGCAGGTATTGGGCCAGGAAAGGATGGAGTTATTTCCCCTTGGGAGAGAAGTAGGACCCACTTTATCAAAGTTTCAAATCCATTTTTTTTCATAGTATCATGTGTATTCGTGTTAGTCTGTGGCAAAATACCTGAGACAGGCTAACTTTTCAAGAAAAGGGGTCTGTTTACAGTTCTGGATGCTGAAGTCCGAACTTCAAGCAAGAGATCATAGCTCAGAATAGGAAGCCAGGGAGGCTGAGGTCCCACACTTCTCTCTGAGAGCGGAGCCTCCAGGGACCTGGAGAACTCCCACAAGGCTCCACATCCTAGAGGCACAGCTCCACCCCAGAGGAATAACTGGCTGAAGGTTGTGGTGCCTGAACTTGAGGGAAGACTAATCCACCATCAGGATGCTGCTTTGCTCCTTGTGAGCCAGAGCAGCCTTGTTACCTCTGCAGGGAGATGGCCTCACCCCTGCCATTTGCTTTCCAAACTCTGTGATTTGTGGACAGTTACCTCACCTCTTGACTTCTCCCTTCATAAATTAGTACTTCCAAATCCGCTCGTTTGTAAAGCTGCCCCCACCCAATGTGAAGATGTTGTGAAGATGCTGTGGTTGCTATGGTAACACAGAGTAGCACCAGGCAGGGAGAAGGCACTTCATACAGAGGACTTGCACCTTGACGAGGTCTAGTGTGGCCTCATCTGAGGATCCTTATGGGCAACTGCTTCACTTAAAACATTCTGTGTGGAACCTTGGTGCCATTTTAAGTTGAGATTCCACTTCTGGTCCTCATTCACCCATCACCTTGAGTCATTTTACATCCTTTGCTGCACAAGTTCAGCTGTTTGCCTTGGCTTCTGTTCTTTCTTGACAAGCTAAAGTCGTGTGTAACTGTGGTGTACAACATGATGTCTGCAGAGTGGCTAAATCCACCTAATGAACATATGCGTGTCTAAATTGCTGTGCTTATTCACCTGTGCTGAGCGCCCTCCACCTTGACTCTTTGCTCCTGGGGTGATGCTGCATGCACATTCAGACTGGGAGCATAGCTAATGTGGATTGAGAGTCAATTTCCAAAGCCCATTAGGTGCTGTTTGTTTTAAAGAATTCAGGCATTATTCCAGTAGAACTGTTTGTGATTCTGTCCATGTGTTCTTTTTGTCCTTCCCATGCTATCTTGAATCTTCCCCTATTTTCTCACTTCATTAAGCCCTAAAACCTATTTATAGCCTTTGTTAGAGGCCAAGTGTCTCTGGCAGTTGGGGAAAATGATTGGGAGGGACATCTTCCTCTATCTTGTTAACTCAGTCCACACCTGTGCCTGCGACTTTTGTTCTGCTCTCAATCCTTACTAAAAGAGCAAGTTCCTATTTCCATTTACAACATCAGAACTTTGACAGATACCAAAAGGACTTGAAGGAGGTCCCCAGGTGAGTTGAAAACATCAAGATTCTCAGCCATTGTAGGAAATGACATTC